CTGTCTGTCTGTCTGTCTGTCTGTCTGTCTGTCTGTCTGTCTGTCTGTCTGTCTGTCCTGTCTGTCTGTCTGTCTGTCTGTCTGTCTGTCTGTCTGTCTGTCTGTCTGTCTGTCTGTCTGTCTGTCTGTCTGTCTGTCTGTCTGTCTGTCTGTCTGTCTGTCTGTCTGTCTGTCTGTCTGTCTGTCTGTCTGTCTGTCTGTCTGTCTGTCTGTCTGTCTGTCTGTCTGTCTGTCTGTCTGTCTGTCTGTCTGTCTGTCTGTCTGTCTGTCTGTCTGTCTGTCTGTCTGTCTGTCTGTCTGTCTGTCTGTCTGTCTGTCTGTCTGTCTGTCTGTCTGTCTGTCTGTCTGTCTGTCTGTCTGTCTGTCTGTCTGTCTGTCTGTCTGTCTGTCTGTCTGTCTGTCTGTCTGTCTGTCTGTCTGTCTGTCTGTCTGTCTGTCTGTCTGTCTGTCTGTCTGTCTGTCTGTCTGTCTGTCTGTCTGTCTGTCTGTCTGTCTGTCTGTCTGTCTGTCTGTCTGTCTGTCTGTCTGTCTGTCTGTCTGTCTGTCTGTCTGTCTGTCTGTCTGTCTGTCTGTCTGTCTGTCTGTCTGTCTGTCTGTCTGTCTGTCTGTCTGTCTGTCTGTCTGTCTGTCTGTCTGTCTGTCTGTCTGTCTGTCTGTCTGTCTGTCTGTCTGTCTGTCTGTCTGTCTGTCTGTCTGTCTGTCTGTCTGTCTGTCTGTCTGTCTGTCTGTCTGTCTGTCTGTCTGTCTGTCTGTCTGTCTGTCTGTCTGTCTGTCTGTCTGTCTGTCTGTCTGTCTGTCTGTCTGTCTGTCTGTCTGTCTGTCTGTCTGTCTGTCTGTCTGTCTGTCTGTCTGTCTGTCTGTCTGTCTGTCTGTCTGTCTGTCTGTCTGTCTGTCTGTCTGTCTGTCTGTCTGTCTGTCTGTCTGTCTGTCTGTCTGTCTGTCTGTCTGTCTGTCTGTCTGTCTGTGTGCAACCTCAATGGTTAAAGCTACACAGAAATCATGTATGACGGAAATGTACCGCGACAGCATATGTCTATCTTTTATGGTTGACTTACAATAACACGTGTAACTCCCGATAGCTTAGCAGTTCGAAGCTTTCTGATTTATATTTGTCTACTCTTACGTTTATAACACTCTCAGTCATCCCTAATTAAAAAAGTTAACATTATTAACTATTCCATAAAAAAGAATCATAGAAATCGGTATAGAAACACCAAAGTTATACATGAAATACGCTAATAATAAGCCATCGCGCGTGAATACTGATTCATGTGGATTATTTTTATTGTATAAATCAGTCGCCGCGCTCGACGCGTCTCGCGGCCGCTGGTATAAAAGGCGGGGCGTCCGAAGCGCCGAGGAAGCAACATCTCCAAAGCATCGCACGGACCCAACAAGAAGACTCCAGGCGGCATTCCTACCGAGTTTATTTATTAAACTCGGTGGAATCCGGCCGCGCAGCAAAGGCGCTGAGGGGATTCCCCCTTCACCCTAGTTGAAGCCCGACCCTAAGATGGTCGTGTGGGTCGCGAAGAAAGATGTCCAGTAACGCCTCCCTACCACCATGAGCGGACGAGAAGAAGATCCGAAGCCGCCTCGCATCCAATCGTGCTCGCGTCTGCGGTATCGCAGCTCGCAAGAGACGAGTCACCCGACGACCGCTGCCACCACCTCACTCGCCCAGCGAACACTGAAGTCAGTACCGATCGGGCCGCGTGATCACCGTGCCCCTCGCTCCGCCGTGCCCGCGATATTCTCGCGCAGGTCGTGGCGGAACACGGGCCGGCGACACCAGCGCCTCACCATACAACAATGATGCCTCAGTAGCCGCCGTCTGGTCGCTGGTTGCCTGGCTGGGCCTCCCTGAATAGGGTCTCACCCGGCCGGGCGATCGCCCGGGCGGCTACCATTACGCAGCCTTAAAGGTCCCAGAAGGGCGTCCCAGTGACGCGCCCATATTTGTGGGCGGCGGAAGAACCCACGGTCAGTCCCCTTACAGGGAATGTGAGATGACCACGGATTCGCCAAATCCAGTTTTTTTTTTCATTTTTTTGTTTCTCTGTCTGTTTGTACGGGCTAATCTCCGAAATTATTTAAATGAAATTTTGCATGGTAGTACCTTATATCTCCGGTCAACATCTAAAATACTTTTCATTCCAGAAAATTAAAGAGTTTCCGTGGGATAATTAAAAAACTATAGTAACTTATACAGCTTAGTACACAGCAACTTATGCACCTAATGTAGTAAAATTTAGCATGCTGATACCTTATATTGCCGGTCAAACAACAGTTTACTTTTCATCCCGGAAAAATGAACGGTTCCCGTGGGCTAGACCTATTTGTGCTTTTGTAGAGGCGAACCCGAGCGAAGCGAGGGTGAGCCGCTAGTTATTAATATTATAAATACGAAAGTTACGAGGGATGTTTTTTAGTGTTACTTAATCACGGCAGAACCGCTGAACGGATCTAGATGAAATTTGGCATAGAGATAGATTATAGTCTAGAATAGTACATAGGTTATTCTTTATCCCGGAAAAATGTACGGTTCCCGTGGGATACATTTGTTTTTCTTTTTCACTAGGGACGAACGCGAGCGAAGCGAGGGTCAGTTGTTAGTATAGTATAATTAGTCTATTATATATGCTTCCAAGGATATTACGACGAGCCGATCTCTAGATTCTGTATAAGCATTAATATCTACAATTCATTTAGCACTATTTCTCGAAACTTCAGCAATTATCCATTTTTATTCAATAACTAACGCATCACCAGGAGGTAAAGTGAAAGCTGCGTTTTTTATATATGGTAACCTTTATTTCTTTTTCAATGCGCACGGTCCTGATTCACTGATATCAATATCGTCTTGCAAAGCTGAGCTTAACTACCCTATAGCTCGTAAAGTATTTATTATCTAGTTAAGACTTGTCTTTTTGCAACCTGGATAACTAACTATCCAATTTAAAAAAAAATGTTAATGTTAATAAATGTTAATGTTTTATTTTATTCCTATCTTCATATTTAAACTAGTGCAAAGTTCCCAATATTAAAAATGGGAGAAAATGTATGATTAACGAGTAGACAATGCCGTTTATTTATAGAGTTACAGTTTAAACATAATATGAGATGTACCTACTTCTACTTGTAAGGCTTAAAGTATAACTAGCATGTCTTACAGATTCAATCAGAAGATAATCCTCATAAAGCAATATTGCGACAAATGACTATAGTTCTACAATAAGATTAATAACTCAACTGACTCATAAAGCCTTACCAATGCAAGAAATTCGAGTAATAAGTAGTTAATATGCACGATGTTGACGATCAGAAGTTAATATTTGACCTACTTGCTGTGCCAGCGGTCGCAGGTTCGAGTCCCGCTGGGGGCATTCATTTTTGTGATCAGAACGAATGTTTGTACTAAAGTCATGGGTGTTTATATGTATAATATGTATATATTTAAAGTAATATATATGTAGTGTATCAACTATCTGGTATCCATAACACAGGCCTCGTAGCTTACCACGGAACTAGATGGTGCTATTTGTTAATGTCCCAACATATTTATTTATTTATTTAATAGTTAATATACGTATGATTTAAATAAAGGTGATTTTGTTATTATCTTTATTGCATTCGAATTAAACCTATATCAATATTTTTTATGTAATTTCTTTGTGATTAAGAAAACAATTATTAAAAAGTGCAAAAACTGAGGGGAAAATTCAAAGTAGTTGAAACGCAACGCCATTGGTCAGACCGAATATGACGTCAAAGTATATCATAACAGAGCGATTAGCGATTTTGTCGCTACAAATTGAGTCGTTATTTTTCTGTGACGTCTCGCCAAGCGAGCGTAATGGCGAGCTTTTAAAGTATCAGTAATCAGCGCTGGATTTAAACAGGCACCAGGTCCCAGAAATCTTCCAGGACACTGGCAGCCTGCTAGACTACTGGGACGCTCCGGGGTGGAAAGAACAATACACACAGCAGCACCAGCTCACGTACAACAGGCAAAGATGCCTAAGTGCGGATAAAGCCATGACTGAAGAAGAAGAAGAAGACACTAGGGGTACTCGTGGCTAGTGCCCAGGATGGCAAATTTTGAAGAAAAAAATTCTTCGCGTTATCGAAAATGCTTTTTTTATTTTATAAAAAATGAAATATAAAAAAAGATTAACTAGTACGTACATTTTCCGAAATATTCATATCATTTCTAGATTATTTTTTTGCGTTTTTGCGTTAAATAAAATTATAACTAATAAAAATTAAACTTATATTATTCAATATTTTATTCAAAATTTCGATAATAGGGCGGCTTTTTTTATAGTGCCCAGGGGCGGCGCTAAGGTTAAATCCGTATCCGGTAAAAAATGCGAGTCTGACTCGCACGCAGACAGTTCCGTAGTATAAAACATTAATTACTAATTTGATTCCACAAAAAAAAAATTAAACTACTTATCTTTCTACGATACTAATTTTATCGGCAAATAAGTTCGTATTTTACAGCCTATTACTATGAGAAACAAATATTAATTTGGCGGCCGAATTCGTGAAACGGAAAATATCCTACATAGTATATGTACATAACATACATGGATGGATGGATAGACGAATATGGTGATATTATAAAGGTTCCGTTCTAACCTTTTGGCTACGGAACTCTAACAAGTCATATAATTGATATATTTATTCCTACCCTAGGCAAGCCCTACAGATGCTAAAGGTTGAACAGATCCAGAACCATCAGGAAATCAAACAAAAACGCAATACGACTACTATTAGGTACCGATTATCTATTTTTTTGCGCAAGTTTTTTTGTATATGTATGCGTGTGTATGTGTGCATGTTTGTTACTTCTTTACACTGAAATTACTGTACGATTAATTTATTAGAATGAAAATGTAGTACACTATGACCTGTTTGGCACCTAGGGAGTAGGGACGCATACGAACGAAGCATAGGTAAGTCGTAAGTTATAAAAATCCATAACATTCACTTACTTGTATCCAGAACAAGGTGAAAAAGGGAACAGCGACGGCAACGGGTCCAGCTCCAATGGGGGAAGCGAGAACGATCCCATGTCCTCCGCGGGCCAGTTCGGTTCACTCACATCGCCGAGCCCGACGTCACATGGGGCGATGGAGTCGCTTAATGCGTTTAGATCTTCTCCATTTTCTGGGCAGCAATTTTCAGTTTCTTGCTGTAAAAGGTTTTTTTCTCATAACATGCGGTCTATAACTATATGGTGAATTTGTTAGTAGTTTTATTGGATATATAAAATTAGTTCGCAAATCTTAATATTTAGGGATAGATCATCTTACATACAACTTTGTCTTAATAGACTCTTGAGATAATTGCTCTTTGGAGAATATTCTATATTATATTTCTTGAAAATTTATCGTGAGAGAGAAATAGTAACCATGTATTTTATTTAGGAATCGGTAGAGCAAAATCAAAAAATGCCACTTTAAACTGCGATAATAAAAAACGTTGCGTCTTAAGGAGCAATCAATTACAATATTTGTTGTTTTATTTAAAGTTTATCAGCATCATGTTTCAAATATGAAAATTGCTCTTCTTACCACAATTTGTGGTCAAAGTACTTTTAAAGCAAAGTACTTTTAATTAAAACATCCATCTATGTTACTTTAACTGGAATAAAAAAAATATAAACGATAGTAGTATGTCTAAAAATACTATTCTAAAATAGGAAAAATATATTATGATAATTTATAAACCATGACGAGCTTGCATAAATTTTTTATGATTTTTTAAATGTATTTTATAATGTATTAAATTAAACTCGCAGCTACATTGTAATTTCACTTTATGAATGAATAAGTATAAAAATATTTCAAGAATATACAATACAAATAAATATTAGTGCACAGTCTGTTCGAAATAACGACAATTAACGAAAAAATAGATAGATATCTAGATGTAAAAGGGTACCTGGCAACAGTCCTCCGGCAGGTCTCTAAGCTGGTCGCAGGAGCAAGGCTGCAGGGGATCGCAGCAGAGTCCGTGGCAACAGCCCAGGAACTGCGGGTTGTTTGGCACGTAGCAGTCCATAGCGCACGCACCCGCGCATGGGCGTTACAGCTTCCGACGTTTGCCCATCCCTAGACACACCTCTCGTGAGATGATATATTTATACATATTATACAGTTGATTTCTAGATTATTGTTTAAATTTTTTTTAGGATTTCGTTTATATTGTGTCGTGCTAGTTAGTTTTGCGGGTCAACTTTATAGTGTATGTAGAGCCTGATATAAAATCAACCTTAATATAAAATGTTGTTAGATTTTGTTATTTTTGTGGGTTTTCCATATCTGAAGTACCTATAAAAATTTCCAGTAGTGAAATAATACTTGTTTGGAGAGTTATGCATTTACTTACGAACTGTCCAAAGGTAAAGTAGTTTTACATTATTTCTAACTATTGGGACTCTATACAGAACCTAATTACTACGACATAACCAATATTTTAAATCAAGTTGATTAAATACTCTATTGTAAGTGTATGCATGCAATAATCATTAAATTTTATATTGACGTACAATTGGCATTTTTTATTTTATCATTTAAATGCCGACGCTAAAAAGCAAATTGCTGGTCTAGTGGACTTCAAGAATTAGGAGACACTCAATTCGGTTATATATTTTTTAAATTTCTTTTATGCGATATCGCTAATTGAAAATCGATTTATATATTTTTTAATGAACAGGTTATACTATGGTATCTCAATTGCAAGGCTCAAGTGTAGATATTTAACAAAATTCCTCCCTTAATTAAGAATATAATAAGCCTATTAAGGGATTTTGATATCAATGTTACTTTTTACTTAATTTTTACTATCCAACTACAATTTTACTTTTTACTTAAAATTTAATTTTTACCATCCAATTACAATTTTGAAACTGATACGAACAATATTACTTTAAAAATAATAAAAAAATAAATTTGACACTATTTCAAAATGTATTTTTTTAATACTTAATTTGGTATGTTGGTATTATTGATATTGGATACTTTAATATACCTAGCTAGCTAGAGTGCATTAGAGGTATCTACTGTTTAAATTCCATCCTAATAGTGTTACAACGTTAAATCTGTGTCAGTCGGCCTACAGAATCGATACAATCGGGCACCTAACTTGTTCTGTTTTATAGATACACTGAGCAAAATTTGTTTTGTTATAAGCATTTCATAAAAAAATACTGGCATAATTATAAAGTTTTTTTTAATTTATTTTAGTTTATTTAAAAAGTTGATTTTAAATACTAACAGCGAAGACGAAAGAAAATGTAGTGCCAAAATCATAAATTTTACGATCTCTATGATAGCATTAGTGGGACATCCCGATCTATGTGGTGCACCTATTGCTCTTTTTCCACGCGAAATATATTTTTTAAACAATAAAATATATAAACAAACACGACCTAGGGGGGTTGTCATCAAAAAATTGATCCGGACTATTTTTTTTTTAATAGATTTTTTTTAAAGTACAAAGAGCCTTTTTCCTGTGAAAACTTACTATCAATCGAAAGTAAAAGACTTGTAGAAATCCTTGTTTCGTATGGTTGGCGGCCTTTTTCGAATCCACATTACCTGACATCCAAGTATAAACAGGTAAATTGGAGTAGTTAATTGCACTATTCGGATCGTATTTTCCGGAACCAACCAAGTATCAAAATGTGGATAATTTTATTGCAAATTTAATGATATAGGATTGTTATACCAAAACATCTTCAGACTAGAGGTTTTTTTTAATTAAAAATAGCCTTGGTGACAAGCCCCCCTTTTTTTAGTGTCGGGAAATGCATCTACGCATACCACCTTAGCCCCAGGTGGGGATGTGGGGCTCACCGGCTAGAAGAACCGGTACAAGCCTTGGTGACAAGCCCCCTGGGTCGTGTTTGTTCATATGTTTTATGGTTTAAAAAATATATTTCGCCTGGAAAAGGAGTGAGGGGTCCACCGCATAGATCGGAATCTTAGACTACGTTGAGTGTTTTCTTTATCATTGTATAGGTACGCCAAACTTCATGAATACAATAAAACAACTTTTTTATAGAACTATTGAAAGTCTGTTACATAAAAGACTTTCATTCTTATTTTTAGAATTATTCATTTAATATAAAAAAGTAACAAAGCGATATTTTACTAAGTTTTTTTGTCAGTTCCCAGGATTGTTTTTTATAAATTACTCTTATCAGAATAATGAACGCCGGCGAGTTCGTTTGCGTTCAATTTAAGATTCCTTCTGAGAATGTAGGTTTGTGTTATAAATCTCATGTCATATCAAAGACATATACTTTTTATCATCATCTATACAGATAAATAAAATTGAATTGTCTGTTTGTAATGTCAAAATAACAGCGTTTTATTATATATGCATATGAAATTATATACCTACGGTACTTATAAGAAAAACACATTTTTTTAAAATTTTGTCTGTCTGTCTGTTTGTTCCGGATAATCTCTGAAACGGCTGGACTGATTTTGTCGGGATTTTCACTGGAAGATAGCTGATGTTATAGGGAGTAACATAGACAACTTTTATTTTAGAAAAAGAATTACGGTTCCGCTCAAAAAAATTAAAATGTTGGGTACATTAAATATAGTATAATAATATTTCCCTCGTGACCGATTTCGGCTGACACTAGCATCGACGCAGGAGATACGCGCAAATATATGTAAGCACTCTCTCCTGTCACTCTCATACTTAGGTGGGACGACACGACTGCAGAACCAACGGCTTACGTGCTCTCTGAGGCACATGAGAGAAATCAACGCCAAGTTCGTATCTCCGGCTTGTTACTGATATTTTTTGACAGAAAAACTTAATAGCTATACTTGGCTCGATCCGAGAGTCAAACCCTGGGCCTGCGGATCTCCGGATTCAGTACACAAATAGCTAAGATTAGCCTAGACATCTGGATTACCACACAGGCAACGGTAAAGCACCGAGGAACGCACATGAGCAAAACGAGAGTTAATCGTTAGTTTATATATTTTTTAGGGAGGATACTCGTAGTAACGTGTTACATAAATTCACATGTAACTTTATATAATTTCGTCAAACCTAAGTTCTAAGTTATCGCATCTTAGAGGTTATGTTTTAATATTACCGCCATATTACGATTTGTTTAAGTTACGCAATATCTTACATTACGTAGATGTCAATGGTTTTTAAATTAACAAGAAGTATTCATGCTTTCCTTTGCTATGAATCAACGACACGTGTATATTATTTAATTAAGTTCACTTCAGAGCTCGGACCTTTGACGTCGCATTAAGACACACGGCAATGCATTTAGCTAAGTTCAGGATTATGGCCCACCGAGTCTATAGAATAAATATTACATTGAACTCTAAAAATTAATTTGATCTATGTACCGGTACTTATATATTTTTAATTTTATGTTATTTAAAGCTAATACAAATACTTAATATTTTATTTTATATATTAAACCTTTGCTAGATCATTTTAATAGACATTTATTATATTCCATAATCCTTATCGCTTATTCTAAAAACGTGATCTATTATTATAGAAATTTTGTTAAACTGCTTATTACTTTTACGAAAGTAATAATTTTCATCAAAGTTTTTCTTTGACTAATACTAATTTTTCGATGCTAAATCATCAAACAATAGTTTAATCATTACAATTTACAACTAACATTACAATACATAAGACTGAAACTCAATTTAAAAAAAACTGGAACATAAACAGCTAAATTGGACACAAACAGTAGTTTTTCTTTCAATTAGGTAGATTAATAATACCTAAATGTAAGACAATGCAATTGTCATTCCTTGTATTTGTTGTGCAAAATATTTTGCAGAATATATTTTCTATTGCGAAAAATCAAGATGATTTTTTATGGTTAAACTGTATAGGTATTAATTTAATAAGCATAATAACAACTGTATATAATTGTTAATTCTCTTTAATTTCTATTGAAATGTGTTTTAATTTTGTTTTGTTTGTAAATTTCTGAAGATAGAGTCTCGCGTCAGACAAATATATAAGGTATTACCAGCCAAAATACGTACGTATATCGTCCCATTGACCCACGAGGTAGAGAGCGGGTATACACCTGAATGGGCGCCCACACGTCTGCACTATAATTTTACCAAAGTGGATGGCCCGTCTCAATAATATTGATTGTTGTCTTGAAAATAATGTTATTTTATTAGTCTCTTTTTCTTTCATGTATTCAGCATGCCTGCTTGTCTTTTTAGTTGGTGTCCCCTCGTTGCTCTAATTGTACGGTTGTATATCCGAAGATCCCTTTTTTTATTTTTATTTTTTTTAACGTTGGGAAATGCATTTACGCACGAGGTGTGGGACTCACCGGCAAAGCCAGTACTACCCACTAAAACCCAACAAAACCTTCCCCCGTCTTAATGGGGCGTCGCAGGATCGCTTACGCATTCAACTACGACGCCCCGACGGCAGGTCTGCCGAAGCAGACCACAACAACCACGGGGTTGCTCCACAGTCCACTCTGCTATCAGAGAAGTACCAGGAGCAACCCGCATGGTACACTGCCCTCCGAACAGGGCCACCTCCCACCGCCCACCGAAGTGGGCCACCTCACTGTGCGTTTCTTGGCTTCGCGCCCGGTTGGGATGCCGGGCACTACTGAGCCCCCCCACCACGACAAGGTGAACGCACGTTGGGGGGATATCCGAAGATCCCTGGCTCAAGTCCCGGGTCGGGCCAAGTATAGTTATTGGCTTTTTCTGTCATGAAAAATTAGTAAGTTGGTGGTGTACACCCCCAAACCTCAAAGATTACGTAAAGCCGTCGGTCCTGCGTCGGACTTTTTGCCGATTGTGTCGAATTGTCGTCCCACCAGATTTTTCAACTAAGCACACCATTTATTTGTACATATGTAAATAAAAGGGAAAATGCAAAGAATTTCTCACAGCAGGTATTCATGTAAAAAAAATTCAAAAATAGTAAACAAGCTCAGCATCCATCGCAATGATTTCGTATTTCAATCATATTACATAATCGCAAATTTAGTTTTATATAATTTTCGTGATAATTACACT